AAATTAATCTCATTCGTTGAATAATTAGTAAATCTCATGACAGTCACTAATTTATAATGGATGGAAAATGATAAAAGACAAGCTTAAAACATTTACTATATAAGTGAATAGTAACTACCACGCCTATTTGTAAACTCAAATCCATCAAATGGGTGAAAATGCTCTCAGGCATGGATTTCATTTAAACTAAAAGCGACATTGGCATGTTTCAATAGTTGGTGTGGCAGTTACACTATCCATGCATGTTGGCAGATTTTGTCTTTGGTTTCCGATCCACGAATTTTATTTCGGACTTCATATTTGAAGACTGTAATTGTGTTTAGACTTGAGATCATCTTCAACCTTTGGGTTAAAATCTAAAAATTTTAACCTAGAAATATGTTTTCTACTCCAACTCTTTTGGGTTAATTTTTTGTCTAAGATTATTAAAGAATGAATTTAGGATTCTTAAAGTAACTTTAAAAAAAAAATTATGTAGACCATCATAATTTAATTTTATAAATAAATTGGGATAGGTTTAAAACCTAAAATTTGAGTTTTACTCCAAGGATTGTAGGTCTTAGGCGTTGATACCGCCGTGTACTCTCCCTCTTTCTCTTATCAATGAATTGAATATTTCAGTTTAAAAAAAAGAAGTTGGTGTGGCAATAACTTATCAAAATGATTCAGAAAATGATGAACAAAGTTGTTGATGCACGAAATCAAATGGACATTGGAACAACGAAAAGTGTTAACTGTTGGTTGCTTCGATCACCTAATGAGGATAATGTGTAAAGAGGATAATCTCTCTTTCTCTCGAGCTATTTTGTGAAACTAAGACCTAAAGAAACACTCGGAGCAAATACGTATTGTATTCAGTCCAGCCTCTGTCCAAGTTTTGACACCAATACAACTTATGTAATTTAATTTATAAAGCTAGCTAGAGTTTTCCTTTTTATCTATACTAAGGGGAGAGGTGAGTTTAGCCTCATAATATGCTAGCAATAATGTGGTTCAAACTAGCTTTTGGTGAAAATCAAACTTAAGACATCTCACTTCGAAGTGAAGAGGAATACCACTGGACTATAATATTAAGTGGCCGATCAATTTGTGTTTTTTTTTATCTAAACGTTTTTTGATCCTTCCATCTTATATTCCAACGCATCAAAAACTCCAGCCCAATTAATTCATTTGATCAGATTGATATGTTTTAATTCTCAATTCTTGCTTTCGTGTTAACCCAATTTTAAGATCTTAGTTCAGTAGGTTGAACATGACGTAACTAAGAATTCCAAGTATTAACATATTACCACTTTCTTCAAATTAGATGGCGATTGAGGATCATAAACTTTTCCTGGACGCGTATAATGAGAAAAAGCTAGGTTATCGATCATTTTGGTCATGTTGTTTTTTATGTCATTTCCTGATCAATGTTGGAGACTTCTACCATGATTTTCCTCTACGAGTAGAAGTATAAAATTATCAATCATTTAGTCATGTTTTTTACGATCACAATCTAGCCTTGAAACATCAGTGTATCCCATACCGGTAGAAAACATCAACTTGCATGTTATTGTACAACTTGTTTTCCCAAAAAAAAAGCTTATGTATATATCTACTGTACACCCTGCCCCCTCCCAGGCACCCACAGACCAGTAATAAAGAATGAATTTAACCTAGAAATATGTTTTCTACTCCAACTCTTTGGGGTTAATTTTTCGTCTCAGATTATTAAAGAATGAATTTAGGATTCTTAAAGTAACTTTAAAAAAGATTATGTAGACTATCATAATTTAATTTTATGAACATTTTAGCCTAAAAATATTTAGATTCCTATAAATATTGGAAAATCACTAAACCGACACTATGAAACTCATGAAACACTATAAAAGAATATGAAACCCATGAAAGAATTTTTTAAATTATTTTAGCCGTTGGATTTAAATTTGGACCGTTATATCTTTTTCTTTAGCGTTAGATTTGATCATATTAAATCTTAGCAGCTGGATTCAATAAACTTATATATATAAAACTAAAAAAAATACACATGGCCCAACCCACTAACATATTGTTTTGATGAGCATGCTCCATCCTCCCATAAGCATTAGCAAAATCATCTGAGATTAGGATTCTGGTAGAATCATTCACATGGCCACATGCAAGATCAAGAGTTGGAGCCAAATTTTCAAAATAAAATTGAAAGTACCAAATAGGGGAACTGTGTAATTGGATAGAAGATAACCCAATACTACTCCAAAGTAAATGTAACTCCACAATATCAATGTCTGGACCTTTCAACTCAGCGCGACAGATAATCACAATTTAAGAACAACATTGACATAAAAGTATAAATCCACCGCAAAGATACTAATCCTCTTCTTTCGGCAAGAAAGTACGAGGATCACATAAAGCTTGGGGCGACTGGACCCTTCGACAGCCCAAGGCGAACTTCCATTGCATGATGTGTGTCCACAGGCCGGAATGTTTCAGATTCACGGGGGTCTGCAATTAGCACAATGAAACGTATAAGAAACCAACACAATCATACAATTAATGGGTTAAAAGAACGAAGCAACAGTATGCGTTTCACTTGGTTAAAGAAAATTAGAACAATATGAACTGCTTTCTTCCTAAGTTTTACCATGATCGTTTAAACTTAGCTTCTATAAGAATGCAAGGTCTAAAATATATGCATACCAACTGAATTCCGAGGATTGGCATGGAATTAAAACGATATAAGCCAAATCTAGGGGATTTTCCACTCAAGAAGTTTTAACTCATTACTTGTTACTTAATGATCCATAATTGTAATATTAGCATCTTGAAGATGGAAAGAAATTAAAAGAAGAATCAAATTACAAAATTCCTAATGACATCAACCCTAATTAAAAACCAATTGATTAGAAGAAAAAAAAAGGCTGCATGTTCGAAAATTCATGAGGATTACTATGGATGTTTAAAAGAGAGAATTACAAGAGGACCCTGATTGGTTAGTTCTTTACAAAGAGGAACGTAAGAAGGCTCCGATTGTATCATAAACATTGAAGGAGTTCAAACAAATAGTTCAAAGAGAAACCATGAACAGTTAAAGCTTAGGATACCAATATTATCTACTTTGTATATGAAGAGTATTTTCTTACCATTCAGGTAATCCTCAAAGCCGAAATCATCCAATTTTCCGTTCATAGCCTCCAAACCCAGCATTGAGGAAGGAATTGGGCCAGCAGGCCTCTGAAATCTGCAGTTGTTTCAAAGAATAGAGTACAACTCAGATTTAACTACAGCAAGTAAACGCTCAGTGTTTTAAGTCCATTACTGCATGTGATACAAAAAAAACATAAGTCACTAGGCTGGTTTGGTATTGCCGTGCTTTGAAAAAAAGCTGATGTGGGAATAAGCGGCTGTGCTGTGAGAATAAGCAGCTGTGAAAAAAATCAGCAGAGTGTTTGGTAAACTTTTTTGTAAAAGTGCTTTTGAAAAAAAAAAGCAGTCTGATAGTGGGTTTTTTCATTAAAGGAGCACTGTAGTTCCGTGTGCTTTGAAAAAAAGCCAGTTTTCCAAAGCTACAAATAGCAGCTTCAACTTTTTCCTTTGATTTCAGCTTATTCTCACAGCAGCTTCCAAAATAAGCCTTTTTTTTTTTAGTTTACCAAACACCTAAAACCCTCACAGCTTTTTTTCATGTGTGTTTTTTTTAAGCACCTCACTCACAAACCACCCCTAAGAAGCACATACAATTACATCCACGGTCAACCAACAATATATGAACTTCAGAGCAACCTCAGACTAAAAGACAAAAGATTCTGTAAGCTCTTTTTTTTCACTCATACTCGGTCTGGATATCTGATACAACTAATAAGTTAGCACAACAAATGTATAAAAACACCTCAAATTGATAGGGAACTGGTGTTTCCTTATCTATATGGCATAACTTGGATCGCAATCAGGCATGGTAAAGACATAATCCAGCCAGTTATAATCGACTCAATATAGAGGATTTGAAAGAACATAGATCACAAATTCCCACCATCTTATTCCTGATTGAACCAGTTTTTTTGTCAATGAGTGAGAAATAACGACACAAACCGGCCACAACCTAAGAACAAAAACTGTACAAGAGATTAACATCTGCACAGACAGAACCACCAACAAAGCTCTAATGCAAAACTTTCATACTCGCAACCCTTATGCACAGGACCATTGACGATGACAGAACAAGATGCTCAAAATATTATCTTCTTTTTCATTATTTTTTTACTTGTGTGACTGCCGAAATAATCTACGTTTAAATTGATACCACTAGATTGTAACATTTATATCCTAAAAAAGTATAGTTCAGTGACTTTTGTAGCGTGAATGACATTCGTATTAAGGGCTCAGTTTAGGACCGGTGTAGTAAGTAAGCATTTATGCTTATAAAAGCTTTTTGTTTTTTACTATAGCCATTAAATATTACATTGTAGGAGTATTTATCTTCACTTGTAAACGATAAGTTTTAGATTCAATTTTCGCTAACAACAAATTTGAAACATGTTATTGCTAGTCCAATGTGAAACTTAACTCACTTCCCCATCCTTTAGTGTGGATAATAACGTTTGTTAAAAAAAACTGTTTTTACTATAAACTAAACTTCCAAGTGCTTTTTGTAAGAAAACACTTGGAAGTTCTTTCTGGAGAAGCATTGGACATGTGCTTCTCCACAAAATGCTCTCTACGAGCGAGAGATCTAGTGTTTACCTTTGCATCCGAGATTATGTGTTTGTATCCTCTCTCCCCTAATGTCGTTTGTGTCAAGCGAAAAAGTGTACACGTGCAATCTGGTGTTCATATTGTACGTATTAAACAAGGGGAGGAGTGTAGAAAGAAAAAATGAGAGTGAATATCACTACTTCGTTTAAGAATGTTTTGATGAGCATGCTCAATGAGAATAAGCATTAGCAAAATCATCTGAGGTTAGGAATCGGGTAGAATCATTCACATGGCCACATGCAAGATCAAGAGTTGGAGCCAAATTTTCAAAATAAAATTGAAAGTACCAAATAGGGGAACTGTAATTGGATAGAAGATAACCCAATACTACTCCAAAGTAAATGTAACTCCACAATATCAATGTCTGGACCTTTCAACTCAGCGCGACAAACAATCACAATTTAAGAACAACATTGACATAAAAGTATAAATCCACCGCAAAGATACTAATCCTCTTCTTTCGGCAAGAAAGTACGAGGATCACATAAAGCTTGGGGCGACTGGACCCTTCGACAGCCCAAGGCGAACTTCCATTGCATGATGTGTGTCCACAGGCCGGAATGTTTCAGGGGGTCTGCAATTAGCACAATGAAACATATAAGAAACCAACACAATCATACAATTAATGGGTTAAAAGAACGAAGCAACAGTATGCGTTTCACTTGGTTAAAGAAAATTAGAACAATATGAACTGCTTTCTTCCTAAGTTTTACCATGATCGTTTAAACTTAGCTTCTATAAGAATGCAAGGTCTAAAATATATGCATACCAACTGAATTCCGAGGATTGGCATGGAATTAAAACTATATCAGCCAAATCTAGGGGATTTTCCACTCAAGAAGTTTTAACTCATTACTTGTTACTTAATGATCCATAATTGTAATATCAGCACCTTGAAGATGGAAAGAAATTAAAAGAATAATCAAATTACCAGTGAATCAACACACGAGCTCGTCATCATGCCCAGGCCCACAAGCCCAATCCTAAACTGCCAAAAACAAAAAACCTCTTCATCAGAAAATCACGACGGCTTTGATCTCCATTTCCGCGATCTTTGGAGCTCCCTTTAACTCTGACCCACCACCAAATCCATCCATTCTTCCTTCCTCCGCCATGCTCCGCCGCTACATCTCCTGAAAGCCACTAAATCCCCCGATTTCAAGACTACCTGGAAGTCGGGTTTCTCAAATTTTGCAGGTTCTTGGTTTTGCCCGTGGAGTTTGAACCTGAAATGCCCAGTAGTCTCGGTCGCTCCCTCTCAGATTTTCTGGAGTTGGAGCCGCTGCAGTGCAATTCTCGACTCCCTGTTGCCGTCGTCTGAGATGGCAAATTAATCGGAAAGCACACCATAGTCACCAACGCCGAGAGATCCAGACCCGATGGTGGCTCCGGCCCACAAAAGAATTTCCAGAAAAAGAGGCTCCAGGCTGCCAGGATGCACCTGTGGGTGTGGACGAGACGGCCCTCGACGCTGAAGTTGTGTGGTGCTGGAGCTGAGCCTCCCAGTGCTGTTGCATCTGAAGTGCCAAAAGGTGATCCAGATCTGCTGAAGAATGGTTGGCTAACTGTCGGTGGATAAGATTCTGACTTGGCAAATGCTCTAATGCTGCATCATTCAAATGTCCAAAACAAGCCAAAATATTCCGCTGTTGATGCTGCTGCTGTCGAATTTGTTGTCGCGCAAGCAATTCAGCTAAATCAAAATGATTGGGTTTCCTGTTTCATGTGTGCCAATTGGTGAGGAGCTACCATGTCCTGATAGAGGTTTGTATTAGAGACTGAATTTTTTCTATGAACATCGGACCATGCATCAGCAAGACCATGCATCCAGGTGGGCATCAGCCGCTGCCGATGCCTTCTGGTAATAATTTTGGTGGTGCCAGGTATGAGAATAATGGAAAGGAAAAGCAGAAAGCATGGCTACCCACTGAGATAATTGCAGAAAGCAGAAAAAAGGAGAAAAAGCAGAAAGCCCTACCTCATGAATTATGCACACATGGTTCAAACTTTCTGGCCCTGGCAAAGCACCATGTAAAGGGAGAGATTTTGCATTCACGAGACTTTCTATGCGAGGGCACATGGAAAACAAAAACAAAAGCAACAAAGATGCAGGGGAAAGACAAAAGCAACCAAGTGGGCTGCGGGAAACAAAAGCAAAAGCAAGGATTAAAAAGAGAAAGGAAAGGATTATACTTTTGCTTTTGTCGACCATCAAAGCAGAAGATGCCATCAACTCTCGAAAAAGAAAACTTTCATCGTGCATGTTCCCACTTTTCTGAAGAAGCCACTAGAAGACGAACATGGAAAAAGATATGTAACAACCCATTACGCAGTAGGTGTAGTACGCACCAACGACTGCCTTATTTATTTTTGAATGATGTAATTTATTTTTCTTATCTTTCGGAGATATCTGTATAAACCCCATCAGAGGGTAATAAAAAAATTTAAAAAAAAACGGCAAGCCCAAAATAATGGGCTGGAACATTATGTGGAGGGCGAAGGTCCATATGCCCAAAAGAGCCAGACCCTCTATTATCACCAACCAGGTGATCAAAAGTACGCCTAGTACTCTAAAATTATTCGGCACCCTGCCACTACTATCACCAACCAAGTGATCAAAAGTACGCCCAGTACTCCAAAATTATTCGGCAGCCTACCGTTATTATCACCAACCAGGTGACCAAAAGTATGCCCAGTACTTCAAATTATACATGAGCATTACTCATGTCAATCATACATAAACATTCATGAGCATTACTTATATCAATCATACATAAACATTCATGAGCATCACTCATGTCAACATTCATGAGCATCACTCATGTCAACATCCATGAGTATCACTCATATCAATCAACATAAACATTCATAAGCATCACTCATGTCAATGAGCTTCAAAAGCTTCATTTACAGAGCTCTAGCTTCAAAATGTTCATTTACAAAAGCTCTAACTTCAAAAGTTTCATTTACAGAGCTCTAGCTTCAAAAGCTTCATTTACAGAGCTCCACCTTCAAAAGCTTCATTTACAAAAACTCTAACTTCAAAAGCTTCATTTATAGAGCTCCAGATTCAAAGCTTCACTTGCAAAGCTTGGTATACAAATACCGCATTCGAACAACACCACTTCGGCCCATACATGGATTAAATTTGAAGTCTCCAGCCAACAGAATCTATTGACCGAAGACTTAGGGGACTACATTAGGTACCATATATTGGGCCTCAACTTGGTCTCATGAAAAATACTTGGGGGACTTAGCCCATTATTTATGTATTGAGGAGCGAGCCTTTATTCTATAAAGGGACTCCCTCATTTTCATTAGAGAGCATCGCCGTCAGCTGAGTAACCGCCTCGCCGCGAGCATAAACTCTAGCCCATCACCATATATTGGGCCTCATAAAAAATACTTGGGAGACTTAGCCCATCATTTATGTATTGAGGAGCGAGCCCTTATTCTATAAAAAGGACTCCCTCACCATCATTAGAGAGCATCAACTCTAACCCATCATTCATGTATTGAGGAGCGAGTCTTTAATCTATAAAAGGGACTCACTCACCTTCAACGCCACAAGCCGAGCCAACTAAGGCAACGTAAGCCACGAGCCGAGCATCCTCGCAGCATGTGCTACTTCTAGTTGAGCATCATGTCAGATTGAGCACCGCCTCATATCGAGCATCAGTTCAAGACAACATCTAGTTACTTCGGCCCACACATGGACTGAATTTCAAGTTTCCAGCCAAAAGATTCTGTTGACTGAAGACTTGGGGGACTACTGTTTATATCATACTTATGGCCTCCGTATTTAGATCTCGTACAAATACTCGAAGGACTTAAATGTAATTATGTAATAAAGGAATGGGCAAATATGTAATAAGTGAGGAGCCCTTATTCTATAAAAGGACTTCTCACCCTTACAATTTGGAGAAGCCATTTCTTAGGCCATGGGAAGAGTTCTCTCACCTTCAGAAGCTCTCTCCCTCACTCCCCTCACTTCTCAGAGAAATAACATAATTAGTGTGGACGTAGCCCAAACCTTGGGGTGAACCACGATATATCTTGTGTTATTTACATTTCTACAGATTCACGGTCGGATTTACATTGTTCCAAGACCTCCGGTTTTGTGCATCAACACGTGTCATACCCGATATCTTAACGGGCCGTGTCGTGTAATACCTGTTAAAATAAACGCGTAAAATGACCCGACCCAAAATCGACTTGATAATATTAACAGGTAATATGACCCGACCCGTTACCCGTTAAGGAAAATATATTTTAAACCAATAAATAATCAAATGAAAAACATAATACTAAATAAATATATACGTACCATATTATCACATCCAAAACATAAAAATGCATTGTTCTTTTAAGTATATTTTCACTTACCTAAAGTCTTTAATAGTTTTTAATTAATGTAGAAGTTTAAAAAAATATAGAAAAAATATATAAACGCTCGTAATGACAAGCTTTACAACTTTCATGAAGAGCCTAACTTCGAAATTCGCCACTATAATCATATAAATCATAGATCAAAATTTAACCGTTGATTGTTGTTTACATTTACGCTTCATTGTTCTCATCAAATTTTGTTTTTTTTTTTAGATTTTCTTTTTTGAAAACTTAATCTATTAAAGGATGCAGGAAGATAAACGGTTTGGATTGTTGATATTATATTCAGAGTTTTACGGTTAGTGAAAATATTGCTTGATGTTTATAAAGTTTCGACAAACTATATGACATCGACTCATATTTCAGTTAACCGTAAATATCAAAACGTGATATCAAAGATCTGAACCGTTCATCTGCTTACATCCGCTAGATGATCATGTTTTCAAAAAAGAAAATTTAAAAAATGAAATTTAGTAAAAAGAATAAAGCGCAAATGGCAATCGACGGTTAAATATAAATTTATGGTTTATGAATTATAGTGTTGGATTTCGAAGCTGACCCCTTCATGAAAGTTGTAAAGTTTGTCACTATGAGTGATTGTATTTTTTTTTTATACATTTTTTACACTTCTACAATAATTATTATTAATTTTTCCCTCAAATAAAAAACATTATTCATGAAGGTTTGGAGGATTTTAAAAATCTAAACGATAATGTAAGTGTAACCATTATCTACTTGTGGAGGAATAATGATGAATCATGAGTGTTTATATATTCTTTCACATTTTTTGATACTTGTATGTATGTCTTCTTAGTTCTTACCTATACAAATACTATATTAGTTTATTAATTTTGGACTAAGTGTTTCTTCACTCGGAACTTTGTCGCAGAGTAATCTTTTCTTCAATACCCAGTTCCCCACTTTGAAAGAACGAGATTTGACCCTTGAGTCATAGTAGTTGGATATGTGCTGCTTATAGGCGACATTCCTCAAGTGAGCCTGGTTTTCGTGTTCCTCGACTAGATCTAAGTTGAGGGTAAGTTGTTTGTCATTTTTGTTTTGCACATAGTTCTGGACTTGGAACGTTGCTTGCTCAAGCTCAACTGGGACAACTGCCTTTGTACCAAAGACAAGTGAGAATATGGTTTCTCTTGTTGATGTCCGATACGAAGTGCAGTATGACCAAAGAAGTTGAGGTACAAATTCTGGCCAACAACATTTAGCCTTGTTCAAGCTAGTTTTCAAAGTTCGCTTGATTATTTTGTTGATGGCTTCAACTTGTCCATTAGACTGGAGATGAGCTGGGAAGACAAAAATAAGTTGATGTTGAACTTAGAGCAGAACATCATCAACTTATTATTGTCGAACTGTGGCCCATTGTCAGTGACTATCGCATTGGGAATGCTGAATCTACAAAGGATGTTCTTCCATACGAAGTCTTGTATTTTTGCCTCAGTAATGGTTGTCAAGGGTTCTACTTCAGCCCACTTTGTGAAGTAGTCAACTGCAACGATTGCATAGCAGACCTTACCCTTCCCTGTAGGCATTTGGCCGATCAAATCAAGTCCCCATTGGGCGAAGGGCTAATGGCTGATCATAGGAGTGAACGACTCAAGAGGGGAGTGAGGAATAGTTAAGTAGCGTTGACACTTATCACATTAGCGAGATATTCTGATGGCATCTTTGTGGAGTAAAGCTTTGTGTGCTAGGGATCGAGATTCAACATGATCTCCGCAGACTCCTTCATGTATTTCCCAAAGGATAATTTCCGCCTCTGCAGGCGTAAGGCATCTTAGGTATGGTAGGTTAAAACCCCGCTTGTAGAGTTGGTCATTAATGATCAAGTAACGGGTAGCCTTGTATCGAATCTGCTTAGCTTGGACTTTATCATTTGGAAGGGTGCCATGAGCAAGGAATCTATAAATCGGGGTAATCCAACTATCCCCTTATTGTAAGTTGCACACTTCTGCAGCCATGGTGTTTGGTGCTGCCAACAATTCGACCTGAATTTTTCTCCCAATCTTGTCTTCCACTGCTGAGGCGAGGCGAGCCAAAGCATTTGCATGACTGTTTGCCGCTTGAGGAATTTGGGTGATCTGGTAGTGGAAGTGTTTGAGCAACAATTGTGTTTGTGCCAGATATGTTGCCATGAAGCTATCATTAGCGTCAAAGTTGTTGGTGACCTGGTTAACCACCAATTGGGAGTCACTAAAGATATCAATTCGTTTAACCCCAAGGTGTTTGGCCAAACGTAAGCCTGCTAGGAGGGCTTCATATTCAGCCTCATTGTTCGACGCCTTAAATTTGAAACGAAGAGCATACTCCATCGTACTTTGTCAAGGTCGTAAAGACTAGTCTTGCTCCACAACCCTGTTGGTTGGACGAGCCATCAACATATAAACTCCATGTTGGGGCTGTTGGTTCTATTTTTTAAGTTTCCGAGGGTAATGAAACTATGTCTTTAGGCGTAGAAACAATGTCAACAGGATATGTGAAGTCGGCGATGAAGTCTGCCACTGCTTGGCCCTTCTCAGCTGGCTTTGGTTGGTAGGAGATGTCAAACTCACCTAATGCTATCGCCCA